TATAAATTCTGCCGAAACTAGTCCTTACCTTCTGAAGCAACGGTAGTCGGCTTATCGACTCAGGAATGTTAGCTCTATGCGCGCATAGCGGCAAAACACGGTACTACAAAAGCTCTGCTCACAAAAAAATTAGTTCGGTTTCTTTTGGGTACGCCATCGTAGATAATATTGTCATGTGTTGGGTGTGTCATGCGACAAATAAATATATGCGAGTCTCAGATTCAGCAAATCTTTATTGGACACTCACACTTACACACTTTCCAACCATTAGCACTTGCAGTATTACAATTACTGCTTCCACAATATCTCGGCCAATACTTCTGTAGCTCCAACTATCTTCAGTGGCAGCTTCCTGAAGACTCTCTTCTTCAGCTACTAATTCCACACTGACTTCTGTATCCTTCGGCATCTATCCAAAGACTGACTTGGCGAATGCATTCAACCCTTTTTATAACCTCAGTCGCTGCTATGCAAACGAGCCTTTGTTATAACTGTGGAAACTCATCTCTATGCAATGCTCACTGTTACAATTACAGTATCGCTATTGTTACTTCCTAGGCAACGGCCAACTGTTGGGGCTACAATACCGCTACTGTTGCTACCTATGCAACGGTCTGTTCTAGCGTTACTATGGTAGTGACTCCTGGATTCCGAACAGGTGACAATATGTTCTCTTAAAAACATTTAAGGCAGGAAGACAGGTTCTGCTTTTATAACTTTCATACTCTCCTGCAGAGGGTCAATTCTGAACTGGAAGTTCCTGGACCCCCAGGGGGTACAGGAGATGATTTCATAAAAATACAAAATACTAGCAACCACTGAAGATATGGGGACAATGACATGCATTACAAATTATGTACAAACCATGCAGGACTTGAGGTTCTTGCAGCAGTGGCTGTGAAGAGTTCTATCTTCTGGGATATAATGCCATGTAGTTTGTTGGAAATCAAAAGAAATTTTGGAGGAACATGTCACCTACATCTTGAGGGTCAGCAAATAAGCCAAGCAAGAAACCAGCATGAAGCATACTTGGCTCATTCTTTGACCCTGAAGATGGATATGACATGTTCCCCCCAAATGTCAGTTGATTTTCAACGAACTATATGGCACTATATCCCAGAAGACAGCAACCTTTACAGAAAGGGAGAAGGGGAGGGGAAGGGGGCAAGACCAAAAACATCTAGAAGGGACAGGCTATGAAAATGTTGTGTATTTTATATACACTCTATGCTCAGAAGCACTGGGATTTTGGACATGTCCATCATCCACTATTCTAAAAAACTAGAGAACACAATATTTTAGAAACTGTCCTCAGGTTGGGGGGAGACACCTGCTCTGTTGCGTCCTTTAGAAAGAGCTAACCTCAAACACTAGAATACCGGATGATGGACAAGGTCCAAAAATCCCATAATTCCAAATGTTATATACCATCATTAGAACCACTTTGTATCTAACTACACTGTACAATCTACAGAAAAACACACTCTGGCGATAATATTAGGCACAGGCTCATAAACTATAAATTAAATAAGCATGGCAAATTAAGACAATTAAGAATAAAAGGACAAAAGCAATGGTAATATGGAGTACCTTATGTATTGAAGCTAAGTTGCTGTGAGCATCAGCAAATGCTGGGTTGATTTGGATGGCTCTAGTGTAGCACTGGAGAGCTCCCTGGATGTCCTGCATTTCCTTAAGAGTATTGCCCATGTTGCTATAGGCATCTGCAAATGTTGGCTGGATCCTATAAAAAGGAAAGGACATTAGTATCGTGATGACAAGAGGCAAAAGGACACAGTAGAAGTAAGAACTTTTTATTTCCATCCTTGTTGCTTCATGGTGCAGGAACCAAGTCAGACTCTGCTGTGCATTTCAAAATGCTGAGAGCAACTTCTCCAGAAGAAAGCCATCTTCTGGGCTGTCGCCGTGTAGACGTTGTGTTAACCGACGTTTTGGAGGAACGTATCACCTCCATCTTCAGGGTAGATGAAAAAAGAAAATGAGTGAGCGAGGAACCAGCGTGAGCAGGTGCTGACAGACTAATGTCAAGTCGAACAAACCGAGCTGTATAAGAGCAGGAAGAGAAGGGAGAGGGGGCACAAGGAAATCAGTAGAGAGGAGAGGGGAATGATCTGGGGAGGTGGGCCAGCAGGTATAGAATATTGTGTTGGGGGGGGGGGCATTAACTCAGAAGCTTCGGGGCTATGATGCGAGTCAGGCATGGACCTACGTGGCCTTGTGGATCTGGCATCATGTCCTGGAGGTTTCTTGAGGGAACAGATGAGAGGCTTCCACGACTTGCTGAGACAAAACCCCACTTCTCTGTTCGTATTGTCAGGATGGAGTTCAATCTTAATGGCCCTTCCTTCTTTGGTCCTCTGACCAGCATCACTATGGTGTCTTCTTTAGGGATGTTGGGAAACATGGACTCAGCGCAATGCGATAACGCACGCGTTGCCAGTAAACGATAGACTATATGGTGTTATATCCCAGAAGACATCACAATCACCACTGTGAGAACCTCAAATCCTACAACTTTTAAGTTAAATGAGCAACACTGTGTGAAAAATGGATCACTCTTCTTAAGGCACAATGAGGAGGTCAATGCTACACAAAAATGAACTTACCTGATGGCTTCCTTGTAGTGCATAAGAGCTTCATTGAGCTTGCCCTGCTGCTGGAGTACAGATGCCAGATTTGAATGTGCTGCAGCAAACTCAGGGAAAACCTCCAGGGCCTTGAGATAGAGACGAGTTGCTTCTTCAATGTAGCCCTGCTCTCGCTTAATGTTGGCCAGATTGTTGAGAGAATCTGCATGTGTGGGGCACAGCCGCAAGGCAGTGTTGTAGCACTCCTCTGCTTCGACCACCTGACCCTTTTCCTTGAGAGCATTTGCCAAATTGCAGTATGCATCTGGGAAGTTGGGCTGGAGCTCAATGGCACGACGGTACGTGTCAATAGCCAAGTCAATAAGTCTATAAAGATATGTATAATATTTTGTAAGAATAAAAACAAATGGATAGAAAAATACACAACTTGTAATTAATGTTTATTATAATACTGAGTGTCTAACAAAAACTGGGACAATGATTTCACAGTGAAGTTGAGTAAAAACTTGTACTTCTCAAAATACAGGCATTCATTGTAGTAGTATCATTATCAGCATTAGTAGTAGCAGTAGTAGTAACATTTTCTCCATCCTGTGTAGCAATGAGAATAACTGACAAAGATTCATTAATCAAACATTGCTGGACTCTGTTCATCCTACAAATTTAAGGCTAAAATTCAGATGAACACAATTTGGAAATCACTTTAAGGCACCCCTGTATCTTGACTCCTGTTCATTTTGATCACTTTCTGGAAAGATACCCTTCTTACAGGAAAACTGTTGTGAAGTGAAAGAATGTTAGTTACCCTTGTTCATAGTAGACACAGGCCAGGTTTCCATGCACGACAGCATTGTTGGGGCTGAGGTTGAGTGCCCGCAGGTAGGCTGCTACCGCTCTGCAATGAACAAGAAACACATCACTCACCCTGCTGTATCCCACGAGATTAACAGAAGGAACATTAAATGAATAAAAAATTATTCATCATTATTTACTTCTATACTATGATATTTCAAGTGTTTCAACATGGTCTCAACAGTAGTAGGTTCTCTTGATAGGGACAGAATATACTTTATATTGATAATATCAATTTAACAGGAGCTGGGATAGCGCAGTTGGTATAGCGACTGACTACGGGCTGAATAACAGAGGGGTTGGATGTTAAGTTCCAGTATGGTCCAGAATTTCCTCTTCTCATCATCCAGATTGGTTCTAGGGCCCGACCAGCCTCCTATCCAATGGGTACTGGGGGCTCTTTTCCCAGGGGGAAAGCAGCCGGGACGTGAAGCTGACCACTCACCTCCAACTAGTGCTGAGGTTAAGAAAACTTGGATCTATACATCCAGTCTCCCATACACCTACATGACATAGTGCTCAATTACTGAACTACAGGGAACACTACCTTACCTTACCTTACCATTTATTTAACATAAACAACTTTAAAAGACAAAATCAACAGAAGTGAACAATAAAACTACCCTAGCCAATTTCTTTGCTATAAAAAACTTGGATCTTAATGGCTCTGACCTTCAGTTTTAATACTTGTGCTTTTTTTTTGTCTCTGAGACTTTGGGATACTATTTTTGGGTCACAATGAAAGATCTCATTNGGGGGGGGGGGGGGGACTAACCAACCTCCTACCACCACCACCACCACCACAGAACCGCTGAATCATGTGGTCATGTGATTCAACAGTATTGTGAGCTGCTGCACTATAACATCATTCCTGCTATTTAATTGTCAAATAAACATAGAATTACAATTTCTTGGAATGCTTACTGAAATGGACCTTAGAAAACAGGGCGGGGTGGTACTGCTTAACTGAACTAGCTCAGGAAAGAATTTAGTCATGGGCTCCAGTGATTTTTCATGTTTAACAAAAGCAGGGAATTTCCTGAGTAGGCGAAAGGTTTTTCTATGAAGACTCTATACAATGTAATTATGTACGATAAGACTGGAGAAACAGCACACAGAATGCACACCTCTTGATACAACACTTGATCCAAGCAAAGCAGCAGGCACGGGCAGCGGTGCCCTGTGGCTCCCACTGGGTATTGGCGGCCAAACCAGGTCGGTTTGGCGGCAGGATGGTGATGATTGTGTATACAATGATGCATTGGTAGTCCATCGTGTCAGTGAGCGCCCAGACATGTCAGACACTCACAGTCAGTAAGTTAACACTGTACACAAAGTCTTGGGGGGACTGACAAGCATGAAGATCCCCTGAATTTCACTGGTGACTGTCTTCTCCACTTTACGTTACCTAATCTCACGTGAATGTTTCTCCACTGTACCTCAATCAAATTCCTTAACATGATTCACATTCATGTTTCCACACTTCACCACTTTCTTTGATGGTCTAAATGTTTCTAAAAGGCAGTGATAATGACTTTAATTCTGAAATCAAAAATTAACATTCATCGATGATCTTGCACAGCATAAAACAGTGCACGAACAAAATAAACCAAGGACACTGTAACATGACAGTTTTGCAACTTTCTTCTCTGGGATGGGAATTTTAACCACGTCCAAGATGTGGCCATTCCTTCATTATGTTTCACTCATATCTGTAGCAGTAACACGATTACTTTAAAAGAAAGGTCCAATGTTTTTGCAACAGACCTTCCAATTATACTTAATGCATTTTTCGATCCAAATTTACTGTTTACACATAGTAACCGCATGATAAATGTGTGTGTGTGTGTGTGTGCGTGTGTGTGGAGGGGTGGTGGGGTGGAAAGAACCCTGAAATCAAATCACTGATTTACTTTCTTACGTAAGAACAGGAACCTTCCTGCTTGCCATATCTGTGTAGTTGGACGTAGATTTTTATAAAATATATGTCCTTGAAAGAAATTATGCCTAAATTACTCCAGATAGTTCAACTTGTACCAACATAACTATAAATTAATAATTACACAATTAACCCACTTATGTGCACAATTTCCACTAGTACAGACTGCCATTACACTAATTTGTCACATATACTTGCAAAAATTTGCATATATGTGACTATTAACATACTGAAGTCACAGAGTTCACAAGTACGTTTATGACCAAACTCCACACAAAATTTCACAACTCTAGCTGTAATGGTTCATTAGTTACTGCCATCAAAGGGTAAGCCAAATATTTATTCTGCATGGCACCCCGTTGCTTAACACTGTACGGTGACACACAATGCACATTTTTTAAGATATTAAGTGGCCTCAGTGTTGCCCCTACCCCATAAATTCGCATTACAATACTGGTACTATTGTGCTAGAAATAAAAATAAACAGGGGGATGATCTTCTACTGACATGGGGGGGGGGAACAAAAAAAAAACTCCGTGATTTTAGTCCGCAAGCGAACTATACTGACCGAGCGATCGCCGCTTGTCGGCAAATTTAGTGCCAACTGACATGAAGAACATACAAAGTTTAAGGAAAATCCATCAATCGGTACAAAACAAAACAGAAAGAAACGGGCACATGGTAATTATGTCAGTACATTTCTGTGTGTGGCTACTGGACAAGGAACAGGAGAAGCAGACGTCATAGCAATGTTCCTGACTCACAGGCTGCCAACGCCTGTTGATCATGATCTTAGACATGAAATTCATTCCGCGCCTGCTATTCTTGCACGCCAAGCACCGGTGCTGGAGAAGTTGCCTATATAGCCAGGCGAAAAGTTTAAAGCCACGGACGAATGACTTCCAACAGCATTTTTTCTTCTCGTACTTACACTGTGAGTTACAGGCAAAGAATCCTTTGGGGAGCCAAGATTATCTCGCAATGCTGAAATAAGGAATCGGAAAGAGAAATCTGCAGGCATCCGGATAAAAATTACATGTTCCGTGCCGTGTTGCAATGAAGAAACGCCTATCCTGACTCTGGAAGCAGCCACGTTCTTCACAATATACAAATTACATATATCTTTAAGACTTGCAACTCTTATTCCAAGCAGTTCGTGATGTGATGAATATTTACCAAACTGCAAGGAATATACTTGCTTACGCACTGCGATCAGCTCTCATATTCCCAAGAGAGTTGTGTCTGCAATAAATTAATGACCAATGAGGAAATTTAAAATAACGAATTAGGAAAAAATGGGTACAACAAACTGCGGTATACCTTTTCGTCTTCTACTGCTGCCGTTTTCAATCGGCCTAAAATTAGAAGTAACACTAGAAACCTGTGTTTAATTACGCCCTCAGAATACTATTGTATTTAAGCATCCTGTTGCATTAATATATCATTTATTTCACACATATATCCTTCTCAAATGCAACTTATTCTCTAGTCACCCTTCTTCCTCCTACATGTTTCGGCCATATACGGCCATCATCACGCGTCTTCTACCTATGTCAAAATTACGTATCACGTGTGAACGCGATCTTTCCCGATTAAAATAAACTGACCTTATCTGTAACTGCGTATAGCCGCACAATATGGAGGATAACCTAGAAAAAAACATGATTCACGCTTTACATAATTTTGACATACAACAATGTTTGCGAAATAGAAGACACCGGCGATGGCCGTATACGACCGAAACATGTAGAGAGGAAGAAGGGTGAGTAGATAATAAGTTGCATTTAAGAAGAAATATATGTGAAATAAGTCGTATACTTATCGTTAAGTTATTAAAATACCCTGTATCAGCACAGAATCCCATTACATCACAGTTGTGCTTCATATTATCTATTGTCTACAGTAAATTTAACAAGCATGGGGGTTCGGTGGCTGTTTCTACTGCTACCCCTAGTTTAATGTCCTAGAACTAGCAAGATACATTTCAACACGCCGAATAGCGGCAGTGGTCGTCAACGCTCTCCACATTTTTCAGTACCGAACAAGAACGCTAAATGTATTTCCTATTACAAAGGTTCAGGGGTCAATTCCAACTGCTATCAATAATCGACAACAACACAATCGAACTTATTCAATTTAATGACAACCAATTATCCGAAGATGGGACTAGAGAAATCCCGAAAGGTCGTGCACATAAACAGACAGGGGTCTGAAATAAACCATCTGGTAGCCTCTTACCAAAGTTCTCCCATAGCCTTTAACTGTTTTCTGAGCCTCATATGTGATAATAAATGTTTACTAGAAGACATACAAAGTGAGGCTAAACATGTATTTGCTACTGGTTTCCGTTAACTCGCCCGTGGCCTGTGGGCAAGTGTATTTATGGAGCACCTTGTAAAAGCCATATCTAAAATAATCCTGAAGTCTACTGGAGCAGACGCCCGCATTAGAAAGCGAAGTTACGACTCAACTATCGAGCGGATATACATTGTGTACGCAAAAGGTAGCTATCTAAAGCAATGGTCACCGATTCTGATTCAAACAGAAGCATATTAAAACTGCCTTCGTTATGTCAGAGGCAACACAGCCAACCTGCTGTACAGTCTGCCTCTTGAAAATTAACGACATACACTATCACTGAGTAAATGAACCTGGGCGATTCTAAATATTTATCGCTTCCCACTGTTTTACGTCGATGTGTATCATCTCACATACAGTAATATACCATGCGCGGCTCCCGGGGAAAATTCACACAGCAGTCACTTGAAATATTGTTCCCACACAGACGAAACCAGAAGCAGCCCAGCACATCGATGTGTGTACATACCAGCACCAATGACTTGTATCCTCGTCAAGCTCTACCTCCCCTACCACTTCTGAAAGACCTGCTCACATGCAAACACGATGGCGCAGTGGCTACCATCGGACAGAAACCAACCACAGACATGATGTTGATCGTCGTTTTATACCACATCCCCAGAGGCACTCCAAAACATTTGCCCTCACCGGAAAGCTATAATCCAGATGACGATATGAACACAAACACTACAGCACTTTCCCTGCCATCTACTGATACACTCTCAATAGAAACACTGACATCAATA